AGTTGCAAAATAATGTATCGCTTTTAATTTCGAAAACCTTTAACTATCACCCTCTATAAAAATTTAACTAACGCAGCAGTGTCAGTTGGTGTTTTCTTAACCATTATTAGAAACACTCGATCAAGTGATTTGAATAACGACATATATGTTTAGATTTCGTTTTATAGTACGATATTTCGACCACCAAAGTAGTAATTTTTAAGTACATATTATGTGTTAATATATTTTTTTTTCCGCCTTCCAGGTGACATTACATTTTTTTTCTTTTACATATTCGTATACAGTATGTTACTACAATAGTCCGAACGGTCCTGTAACATGCTGAGAGCATTATTGCAGTTTTAAGATCGCACCGCACAAAATCAGCAAAGCTCAGGACCAGCTGGGACACGTTGTCACGCTGCCAAAAGGACGCCTAATCCTCCAAAGCGACAAGCAAGTATGAGATTATCTGTCGTTTTTCGATATACCAGATACGCCACCCCATCCATCGTTCCGAAAACGCCAAAAGTTCTCTGAAAACGCGAAAACCCACCCAGTATTATTGCCGCAACACACCGGTTAGTTTTTATGCAATCTTCGACTACAGATGCTGAATATGCATTGTTTATGGAACGGAAAGCAAAAAATAGTTATGGTATCTAAAGAGAACTATGTTGTTTGTCTTGTGAGGGAATTTTGAATGTCGTTTTGATTTGGCCAGACAATGGAATCCTCTGAACATGAAAACCACAGGACAAATTTCAGGAGTTATATTAGGAATTTCAAAGTTGAATGTTTCCATTAAAATTCGCCATTCCGTTTTTATAAAATTTCTGTATTCCCATCAGTATCTCCCCTAGTGTCAAAAAACCTAAATACAGGGTTATCCAAATTAAGTGTCCACCATTAGTAACTTTGTTATTAGTGAAAATACAAAGTTGTTTGAATTAGCAAACTAGTAGCATTTTTAACGCTGGTAAAAATGAGAAATAAAAAAAAACAATTGAGAGTCGTTATTTTGATTTTTTTCAGTAAAATAACATTTTTTTAAATGGAAACCCCTGTATATTATATTTTTTTCTGTTAAAGCATCAAATCTTATACAAAAAAGTTCATAATGACTTTTCCGCTAAAGTCAAAAATAAAGTCAAAATAACGATAAATATTTTTAATTATTTGCAGTATTATAATATTAAGACGGCTATGAAAACAACATGGCGTTCGCGATTTGACAGCATTAAGATAAGCGACAAATTGTTAAACTGGACATACTCGCAACTAGAAGGCTTTGGAAAACAATGATAAAATCAAATAATGTCAAACATTAGTGTAAATACTTGTTTATAAGCTTTATTGTGTCATTAATTTAAAGAAAAATGTTCTCCCATGAAGAAAAGTGTGATATGTTAGAAGAGAATACTACAGTGAATTATATCCCGCTCGCATTCAACCGTATGAACGATATTTTCTGAGACTTTATCGAAAATTTAGGGGCAACGAAAATGTTTTTGCTAAAACAAGGGCAAAAAAAGAATTCATAATAAGCGAGGCCACGGAAATTGCAGTTATTGGATATTTTGAAGCTTATCGTGAGAATTCAATAGCAGATATTCTCAAGGACTTTAATTTCAGTTATGGTACTGTTCAAAGGATTTTAAAAAAATACAAATTTATTCCGTATAAGTACCGACCAGTTCAAACGCTTTTGGCAGGGGATCCAGAGAGAAGACTTGTTTTTTGCCATTGGTATCTTAGCTTCTGTCGCCAAAATGTAAATAACTTTCGTTACCTTTTATGGACAGATGAATCAAATTTTTCAAATTCTGGAATGTTTAATAGAAAAAAACACCATTATTGGTCAAGAGAAAATCTTTTGTTAGTACACCCAAGAGGCCCACAAGTCCGTTTCAGTTTCAACGTTTGGTGCGGTATAATTGGTTCAAAAATTGTTGGCCCGTTCTTTTATGAGGGAACCCTAACTGGTGAAAGATATGTGGAATTTATGTCAGAAATTCTGACTAATTTCTTAGACGAATTGGATCTTATAAGTAGACATCATCTGCATTTTCAGCAAGATGGCGCACCTGCTCACAACTCCAGAGGTACTTATCATTTTCTAAGTACTACTTTTAATGATCAGTGGATAGGAACAAATGGCCCAATACAGTGGCCTCCCAGATGACCAGATCTAAACCCACTTGATTACTTCTTGTGGGGTTACTTAAAGAACCAAATTTACAAGCGAAGGTACGATAACCTTGACGCGTTAAAGACTGCAGTTAGGGAAAAGATAACCCAGATAGATGGTAGGACCATACTTAAGACAGTTCGAGCAGTTGAAAAACGTGCCCAAAAATGTATTGAAGAACAAGGTGGTGTTTTCGAGCATCTTCTTTAAAAAAAATTGTTATTGTATTTTGTAAGATTATAAGTTGATGTTGAAAATAAAGTTTGTCGATACAATTTAATTGTTTCAGATTGGAGGCCATAACTTCAACAATTTGTAACCTAGGAGAAAAGTTATTGTAAGCTTTTTTGTTTAAAATTTGATGCTTTAACAGAAAAAAATATAATATACAGGGGTTTCCATTTAAAAAAATGTTATTTTACTGAAAAAATCAAAATAACGACTCTCAATTGTTTTTTTTTATTTCTCATTTTTACCAGCGTTAAAAATGCTACTAGTTTGCTAATTCAAACAACTTTGTATTTTGACTAATAACAAAGTTACTAATGGTGGACACTTAATTTGGATAACCCTGTATATCAAATTCCATCAAGCCACTTACGCTGTATTCCGTGAAATAGCATTTTTTATTAAAATCCGTCATTTCGTTTTAATAAAATTTGTCATTTGCACTGCTAAGGCCTATCCAACGACACCTCATATGTCAAAATCAATCAAGTCGTTTGTCCTGCAGCGGGTGAAATAGAATTTTGTGTCCTCCGACGCGCGAAAAACATGACCCTCCTTTGAGGCATTAGGCATTAGGGTAATAAGTATACGATGAATAGTGTCTATTTCTTGGTCTTGTGCCTACCGTGCCTCTTAAATTAAGGGTTACCCGGCGTATCAGTGAGGTACCAATAACCAAACAAGGAAAAAATTAAAAGCAAATACACTTGTAGATATATGCATATTTTAATTCTTGAAAATAGATTAGAATCAGATAATTCCACCTTTTTGTGAGCTCGCCAGATATGTCCCTGATATTTTTTATAAATACATATACTATTGTTATCCCCCAGTAAAAACAATGATACAGTTATTTATGCAAGAACTGTAGATATTGCTTCTCACATCCTAGATCGATCCATCCGTGATCGCGACTTGTAATACTTGAGAACGTGTACTTTAATGGCAATCATAACCAACGGTAAACGACGTGGCAGGAGCCCTTACGCTTCCCGGCACGCCTGAAAAAAAGCCTGCTGGATAAACAAAAAAATGTCGACAACCCTATAATCAACTCGACAATCTGGGGTTCACTAAACTCTATTTCACGAGTATCCATCACGCTTTGGCGCACTTTGACGTCTACTGAGGTGGACAGCTGATTAGCAAGTGACATTTTCTGTGTTAGTTTGTAACGTTGGCTATAATGAATCGGGTGTAAATCTAGCAAAAATTTGTTCGTAGCGTTTTGTTTTTGGATTTACATTTACATGAACTTTTCTGAATAAAAGATCTTTTAGCAAGTACAGTACAAATTGTAAATTCCATATGTCGATTTATCCGTTATATGATTTATATCTATCGAAATTTTATAATTCAAATGAAGCAAGTAATTTTATGGAGTCTTATTCATGAAATAATAATATGAAAATTATATAGAAATTGCCAAACTAGTTATTTGACATCATAAATACTAAAAAGGAAAAAACAAATAAAATAAAAAATACATTAAAAAAATAAAATAAAAAATACATTTTTAAAAACAAGCTTTTAATAAAGTGATCTACAAAACTTCAAAATATTTTGACTGACTCACGCAACAAAGTGCTGTTGTTGGATTCCGCTTGACTATATCGTAACTGCGCCTGTTGCTTAATGTAGTCCCTTAGAATGTCGAGGTCTCAGTGAAGGGTCTCGTTGGAGACATACCATGAGGCGTTAGTGACAGTATGCAAAGTTACACCATGCTGCACATGCATAAGTGATTGCTGGTCTAATAGCCATCTTGTATAACCGAACTTTGTTGATAATACTTATTTTTGAGGTTCTGCCTAGCATACGGTAGAGTTGCCGAAACGTAATTTGGAATTTGGCTTTTAACGCTTGGCCTTCTGCCAAGTCATCCCCTTGTCAAGAGTAACACCAAGATACTTGAAATAATTTTCCCATGATACATGTACCCCATTCACTGAAACCTCTACGTTATTTAGTGCAATAGATAGCCTGCGTTTTCGAGTAATTAATTTTGATCAGCCGCTGGTCCGCCTATTTCAATACCTCTCCACATCAGTTTGTAACTTGTCGTGAACCAGATTCTCAGAACTCGACTGGGCCGCCAATACAGTGTCAGCAGCATATATATAGTCGTCACAGTCCCTGGAGCAAGGGACTTCATGAGTGAAAAGTGAATACAAGATTGGTCTGAGAACCCTGATGGACACCGGCTGTAATGGGTCGCTCTGTCAACAAGGCATTATTAATTTTGATCCGAAACTTCCTACCTTTAAGGAAGGATTTCAAAAGTTTTATGTGCCAAAATGTAAAGCCTTTTTGGATTAACTTGTAGAGAAGGCCCTTGTGCCAAATGCCTTCGAGACAACCTGTATAACAGCGTGCAGAGAACAACCTCGTAGCTTAGCACTGGCTTAGTAATGGAAGCTTCCACCCGGCGCGTGTGAAGCCATGTTTTGTAAAATTCCATGGAAATATTTTCAATAGTCAGTAAGCTAATCAAACCAAAATAAAATTCATGAATATTTGAGATATTTGACTATCTGGTCCACTTACCACACAATTGATGCTTTATCTCTGAGATAACTTGTTTAGTATAAATGGAACAATGTCTCTAATCTATCGATTTTGTGTCAGTGGGACAACTAGAAGGTAAGTTTGATTCAGTTTTAGGTACATACTTCTCTTGAACTGAACTAAACTGTTTTTAGGAGACATCATGAAGGGTCTCGCTATAGTCGCCGTACTTATTATCGCCGCCAATGGTCTTTCAGAACAGGAAAAATGGCAACAATTCAAAGTAAGAGCATTTAAAGACAGTATTAGTAACGCACATATCTTTTTAGATGAGGATAAATAATAAATCTTATATCTATACAGTCGACATAATTATAGATCCATATTTGGATAACGCACGTTACATACAAATTCCGAACACACTTTATTTGAGTACACTAAAAATTATTTGGACTACTATGCCCAGGACACAAAAGCTTTGCAATACCGAGGTTTCAGACAAAAAATTAGAGATAAAAAAAAAACTTGAGGAGGTGGGGAGGATTTATCTCAATTTTTTGATGTTAGTACATTATACGTGCCCAACCTTGGTAATTCTACGCACCTATTACACATATTTGACACAGCATAGATTCCTCTGTACACTACTCCTTAAAACTTAGAAAACTATTATCGGCAGACGGATCGCGTTCCTACTGGCCGCGGCTAGGGAGTGATCTGTTGTTCTGGTATGGAATCACACGTATTTCTGCAGCGTCACATATGGTTTCCTACTCTCTGACCGCGCTGCCATGTTTAACCTAGTCAAGTACCGGGGAGAGGCGTCGATTGCAGAGGCACTACCGGTAGAGCAGGAAATAATGTCTATAGACCAATAGCATGGACCTGTTTGACTGACTTTTTCCTCAGAGGGTCTAGTTTGTGCTGAACATAGTCATTTATGAATTGATAACGGCGTTGCGTGTGAAGTTCAGAGTCAACCTACTTTTTTTTTTGGAATACCCGGAAATGTTAATTAAGAAAACATATTGTAACAAGAATAAATAGTACTGTTGTCGTCATTTGTTGGGAGACTCTCCTACTCGCAGGAGCTTCATGGCCGATCTCTGGTTTTACGCGGATCACGACCGCACATGCCGCTTGGCGACATCTGTTGTTGAGCGTGTCAGTGACTCGCCTTGTAGATCAACGCGAACTGACCTCGACGATTCTGGAATGCGGCTATGTGACCCACCAAAATCTTCTCGACCCGACGATGCGGACTATAATTATAACTCGACGGCCGGGAGACGGAAGCAGAGTAGAGTAGAGCAGAGTGGAGTATAGTTCACTCAATGTCACGACATAAGAATTAGTCAGACATAAATAGTGGTGTACATAAATGTTCTATCTAGTCAAGTTAAATAAATTAGTGCATTTTGTTTTGTGGAATCGAGTGTTTTAATCCACACCCAAAAGAACCCAGAAAAACGCTACAATATTATTAGGTTTGGCAGGCTTCATAACTTTTATAACAACTTTCGAGATTTTTTAACTGCTTCCTACAACGATCAGGCTCCTATACAATACAGGTTCATAACAAAATTCTTGCTGTGATGAATTTTTCATTCAATTACTCAATTATGATCCTCAATTCGATAGACGTAAAAATATGGCAGTAATTCCTACGGTGATTGTACAATTATTGCTTCCATGATTTTATCAAAGAAATGCAAGGTAACTGAGCCTACTCTGTGAAAACAATACCAACAGTCAACCCGGCATCCAATATTGCGGCATGCAGACCAAGATATGTATTTGTTATGAAAAAACATTTCATGATGCCTGCATAAAAAGTAACACATTCCCTCAGTTTTGCTATATTTTAAAAATATGTAAGGATGTAATATTTTTCATATTCAGAATATTAGCGGCAGAATAATTTCCAATAAATTATTCATCTTGTGTCAGTTAGCGTGGCGAACACCAGCCAAGAGAATTCAAAACTAAATACACCAACTTCATGAATTTTCGGTAACATACCAGTTTACTTCTGAATTCTCCTGGTCTGTACTCGCGACCCTAAATTATCAATTCGTATTATATACCTTTTGAGTTTTCAAATACTACCAGAAATCTTTTTCAATCAATATTTTTGTCTAATATTATAAAGGATCCTGATTACCTACACATAGCTTAATCAGAAATGCAGAATACGGAAAAACATTATTTTTGGTAGCTTCATATTCATATATTACCGGATTCAGATTATTTTTCTTTAGGCCTTATGTAAGATATACTCGAGACCTAGTTCTTATGACTTCCCGAATCCACCAGTCATTTTGAAAATACATAGTTCTAATAAATAGTCGCATGTTCTACATTCCCCTTGGTGTATGATATCCTGTCACTATAATAAGATTGCTATAGATTCAACATGGCAGAACCTACAGAACCCTTCTGGAAGAAAAGAGGCGCTTCGAAATCTTCAAGTTCAATCTACGCACAATCGAAGAACACAACGAGCGATATCACAATGGCGAAGAAACGTTTGAAATGGGGATCAACCAATTTGGTGACATGACCCAGGAAGAGTTTAAACGGATGTTGGCTTTGCAGAAACCACAAATGCCCCTGCCTAGCGGGGATGAGGTGTCATTTGATAATGTCAAGGATATACCTAAAACTGTAGATTGGAGGGAGAAAGGCGCAGTTACCGAAGTGAAAAACCAAGGAAATTGTGGTTCATGCTGGGCTTTTAGTGCTGTAAGTTTCAATTAATTTATTTGTAGCCATCTAAGTGTAATCTAGTGATCCTGCTCTGTCCCTAACCCCCTTGGAATAAACTTACATTGGTATTTCCATTTTTCAACGCAAAATCCTTACTAACATCGATACACTTGTTCAATCGGTGCTCCAACATTTTTTTCATAAATATTGTTTTAATTGTGAAAATAGTCAAAGTATTTTGAACTTTTCAAATGACCTTACCCACTTGTTTATTTTTCGTTCATCTGTCTCCAGGACTACTAGACCTATAATACAGCACTGATGAGTTGCTAATGAGCACGAAGCATCAATGTCTGCGGTTGGTCGTGGTTACAGAGACGGAAAGCAAACATATCTATTTCAGGCGTGTATATTTATGCATACAAGAGGGTGTCCAATGAGTACCAAGACAAACTTAAGGAGAAGGTAGGCTTTGGACTGACCTTTCAAATAACAAAAACTTACCTTTTTTTTTTTTTTTTTTTTTTTTTTTTTTTTTTTTTTTTTTTATACTCCAACTACCACGAAGGCCTAAGGCCTAAGCACCCATTGGGTACCGTGGGGCTATAGGGGGATACATGGGAAAGGGGGGGGGACGCCACACGGACTCTGGCGAGGGAACACGTGTGCATGCAACATGCACACGTTCTGGCTCCGCCTACGAGAACCGCCGGGTGGTACCTCCGCGTTCGACAGTCAGAGACCATCTACCACCTACGGACAATCACAACATCCATAGCCAAGAGAAAAATTTCTCCTGGGACGGGACTCGAACCCGCACAGCGCACGGCAACTGATCAGGAGACCGAAGAGTCTACTACTGCGGCCACCGCTGCTGCCTTTATAAAAGTGGCACCGTTTTTGAGATATTGAATTTTTTCTTAAATTAAAAAAAGCGAACCTTTTCATCTGTGGTCTTTAGCTGCATGTACAGGTACAAATAAGGTTATACTTTGTTCATTTTTTCTATAAAATACTTTTAGATAGTTGCTTTATCATATACAAATCCAATGTAGTTAAAAGATATTAAGGAACCATGATCAAATAAGGACTATTTTGGGATTTATAACCTTCTGATATTTTTTCCTCAACTTTGACCATCTGTGGTGAAACAAAAATGTACTGGGCTATAACTGCATTATATTGTTGTGTTGTACTATTTAGCATGTCGTTGGTCGGTAACTTAAATTTAAATTCAATAATTACATTGTAGTGTTGTCAGACAAGTACGAATATCACTTTTTTTCTATTCCAAATAGTACGTGTGGCACCGTTCTGAAATCTGTATTCAATGAGCAATCTTATTTTATTCAATAAATGCAGTTATAGCCCATTACATTTTTGTCTCATCACAGATTGTCAAAGCTGAGGAAACAATATCAGAAGGTTATAGATCCCAAAACAGTCCTTATTTTATCATGGTTCCTTAATATCTTTTAACTACATTGCATTTGTATATGATAAAGCAACTATCTAGAAGTATTTTATAGAAAAAATGGACAAAGTATAACCTTATTTGTACATGCAGCTAAAGACCACAGATGAAAAGGTTCGTTTTATATTTTAATTTAAGGAAAAATTCAATATCTCAAAAACGGTGACACTTTTATATAGGTAAGTTTTTGTTATTTGGGGGGTCAGTCCAAAGCCTACCTTCTCCTTAAGTTTGTCGTGGTACTTATTGGACACCCTGTATATGCAAAGAAAGGCATTGTTTGTGTGCTGCGTGAATACGAGTATTTGGAATTTAAGCTGCTAAATAGGTCGGCTCTTTTTTGTGGTGCGACACCTATCTGTGCTTTGTGCAGAACGTCGAGCAGTGATGAGCCTATAGCGTAGGGGTCTTCCGTCTGCTTTCATATAGTAAAATACCAAAATTGATGACATTAGCGAAACTCATCGTACGCCACTGCTATTACGCGGAGGCCTTCGAAAATGCGGCGCTTCTTTGTGAAATGTCGGTAAACGTCGCTGTAATCAAAAGGTACCGTGTCAAAGCAGTGGCTCACGATGACTTCTGCTACTGTCATCAATTCTGGTATTTGACTATAGTATGGAATGAGGATGAAGATCAACTTCGCAAACCATTAGTAGGTGGACATCGTCAGATTTTTTGCCCACCAAGACCAAATGGCTTGATGGATTTGGACATTTCATGTGTTCTGATAGCACAATTAAAAAAATAATTCTTTTCAGTCAATGCATTCCGACTTTTGGTAGTTTTTAAAATGTGCTTGTTCTTGATATATACGGGTATTTTATTACGGCTCTCCGCTCAACAGGATCCATTTCTATTAAAACATTTTTGTCACATATGAATAAAAAAGCAGATGACGTCAAAACAAACATGTAAACTTAATATTTTATTAATATTACTTCTTCCCACGTCCCATAGTCATATGTTGAAGGATACATGCTCAGCAAGTTATATGATACATAGAACATTGGGCAATCGAACATGGTGGTAGGAGCGCATATACATATATCTTCCAAATATATTCTTCAACCCTCAACGTGTAAAATTTTCAAAACTCACCATTCGAATTAGTTTGAGGTTGTCAAAAATATAAAAAAAGTACAATGTTTATCAAGATTTTGAACTGAGAGCAAGAATAACGGGCGTTTTACCTTCTAAAATAAGGTTTTAATATAATGTTTGTGGTTCAAATAAGTCGAACTGTCTCATACTATCAAAATTATTTGCATTACTATACAGATAAATATTGACCATCTGTTGCACTATACCGGGTGTTTCAATACTCATGTCTCAGATCATATTTTTCATCAAGCTCTGGGGCTGGATATTTCGTAAACGTTGTTGCTACATAGGAGGATATTTTCAAGTATCATTTTGTTTATGGTGACCCTCATAAAGAAAAAACACTGTTACTGAGCATAAGAGACAAAAAAAAGACACGCAAAATCTCATCGATAATCTTCCCTTGCCCTGTCATTGAATAGTAATGAAAGAGTTCACAAGATTAAATAAAGATATGTAAACTGGTAATTGCAGGTTTTATCACAAATCGATAAGCATTCCATCTATGTTTTGACAGTAATCATGAAAAAAATTGTTGTAAACGCAATAATGTTAACCACAAAGGACCATCAACAAGAGAATGTTGGACCAACCAAGGTCTAGACGTATGTCACCTTATTTAAATATCCAAAGTCGTATTTGCATAACCCCCAACTTGCATCTGTTAGTATATGATGAACAATTCCTGAAATGTACGATCTCAGACTACAACAATTTCCTAATTTCATTAATACTCATGATATTACTAAACTAAGGTAAATGTCCGAAAATTCGTGATAGTACATAACTTCGTTAGTTTTTCTTTGGAGCGCCTAAATGAGAACAACGTCTTATTCTCTATTATTAAGCTCTGACGACTCAAAAACCAAAATTCTTATTTTCAACCATTAACAAAATATTTGGCGATTTTTGGAACTGTCGGTCGATCTGTAGATGCTGAGCAAGGCGAACTTGTATGTAGCTCTTAGGCTATGTACTGAATTTCTAACCTTCCCACAAAAGTAGATAAGCTAATTTGACTAAAATATGTGATATTCCTGTTAATAATTTCATTATAAGTAATTCATAATAACTCACGAAATTTGGTTCAGTTAACTTTGTTATGTTCCTAAATTTGGGTTACTCACGACTTCACTGAAAAATTATTGCAAATAGTATGTCACAAAATATGAGATATACATCTGATCTATTATATATATAAAGGGTGGTCCATTTAAAATTTTTTTTTTAAAAATGCTATAAAAAAAAACTACTAAATATTTTTTAAAATTTTTTTTTATTTGAAAGTACAATCCTTCCGATTAAGTATGGAATACAACTTCATTTAAATGACTGCCGCGGCTGGCTTTGCAGTAGCCCATACGGTCAGTCCAATTTTTGACCACATTTTCAATCGTATGTGGCTGTATTTCAGCAATGGCAGCGCGTATGTTCTCTTTTATTTCGCCAATTGTTGCTGGTTTGTTGGCATAACATTGGTCTTTAATGGCACCCCATAAATAATAATCTAATGGGGTCAAATCACAGCTCCGAGGCGGCCAAACAACATCAGAATTTCGGCTGATAATGCGATCACCGAAAACACTTCGCAGAAGAGCAATCGTAGTGTTAGCTGTGTGACACGGAGCACCGTCTTGTTGAAACCAGATGTTACCGACATCAATATCTTGAATTTGTGGAAAGAAAAATTCATTTATCATGGTACGGTAACGCTCACCATTCACAGTAACTGCTGCTCCGGCTTCATTTTCAAAGAAAAATGGCCAATGATGCCACCAGCCCAAAATCCGCACCAAACAGTCACTCGTTCTGGATGCATTGGCTTTTCTTCGATTGCGTGTGGGTTCTCTGAACCCCAAATGCGGCAGTTTTGCTTATTAACATAGCCGCCAAGATAAAAATGCGCTTCATCTGAAAAGATGATTTTTCGACCAAAATCTGCAACATTACCACCACTTTCGAAATATTGTTTTAATATTTCCCAGCGTTGTTCAAGCGAATACACAACCATTTTCGTTAATCGGAATGATATGACTGATGTTCTGTCAAATCAGATGCGAAATAAGTCTTGACATATCCCAAAAAACCAGTAACTCAAAAAAAAAACGATAGATGGACCACCCGGTATATATATATATATATATAAAGAGAATATGATCATGCGGAGAAAGGTATATAACAACAAGTAGGAAAATAATGGGCAAAATCCGCAAAAAGGAGGAAAGTGAGATAGGTAACCCGAGCGATACGTATTTCTGCTGGTTGGCTTCATCAGGCCTGAAATGAATGCACACATGAAACTACAAAAGTAGATACACATGCCCACACATCCGGATACGGGTGTAACCTGAGGAAACGAAGTTGGAGGGGAAAAATAAAAAAAAAAAAACGACACACGAAGTCCACAACAAGAGCCGGATGTGTGGGCATGTGTATCTACTTTTGTAGTTTCATATGTGCATTCATTTCGGGCCTGATGAAACCAACCAGCAGAAATACGTATCGCTCGGGTTACCTATCTCTATTTTCTGCTCGAATCCACTTTCCTCCTTTTTGCGGATTTTGCCCATTATTTTCCTACTTGTTGTTATATATATATTAAACATACTTGATAATCACGGTCTACATTTATTTATTTGTTATGTGATAACTTACAACTACAGATGTAGCTAATAGTTATGTTCTTACTTTTTAGTTTGTTGATCTTTTTCATATACCTTCATCACCTATATACGTGTACCTGTATAATATGATTCTGGTGAAACCAACAAAAATATTTTGTATACTGTAATACTTAGGATGATTAATTATTTTGTTAATTATCAAAACTGTTTATCTTTATTTATGAGAATTTAGTGGTACTTATTATACCCATTTTATATCCAGGGTCCGTATCATGAAGTAAGAGACACACATTCACGAGGTTATAGACAATGAATTTTGTCACGAAAGAAGGTTCAGATGGAGGGTTTCTAAAAAAATATTTGGAAGGATACTGCAAACTAGAACAACAAGGATTTTGCACTTGACTAATCTCAAAATATCTGCTTACACGACAAAAAAGTTTTACTACGAAATCTTATTAATAATTAAAAAAAAATCTAGAAATTAAAAGTCCCTTAACATGGGGAAGTTTGGGGCCTCGGTTGGCCGCGTTGGTCAGAGTGTCGTGCTACTGATCAGCCGGCCGGCCGGGCCGCGAGTTCGAATCTCGCCTTCGCCATGGATGTTGTGACGTCGTGTGTTTGTCCATAATTAGAGAAATATAAGTAACACACATCTGTGGCAAATGGATAACTTCCAATGCCAAACAAAAAAAAATGGCGAAGTTTGAGACATTTATCTTATTCCACCCTTATCTAAACATATTTCTGTCAATTTCAGGTAGGTTCAATCGAAGGACAAGTATTCCTGAAAAATGGCTCTCTGGAATCTTTGAGCGCCCAGAACCTCGTAGATTGTGCTGGTATAGAATATGGCAACTTTGGATGTAAAGGAGGATTGATGGACTATGCATTCAACTACACCCACCAGCATGGAATACTTTCAGATGCGGAGTATCCCTACTGGGGATTCACTAGAAGGTGTACGAAACAGGGTGGAGTTAAGATAACAGGATATCAAGATGTGTCTAAAGGAGATGAAGTAGTCCTAGCTAAGGCTGTCGGTAAGTATTATAAACGTGGTATACTAAAAACTGAAATGGTTTGGTTATTACAATCTATGATACTATGTACCAAGGATTGTCTAATATACAGGGTGCTAATAAAGTAGCTAGCTTATCAAACTTAAAGGGGTGATACCTTGAGTGATTAAGAAGGAAAGTTAAAATATGGTGTTCTAAGGGTCACGATTTTCCTTTTCAGAAGTTTGAAATAAAGCTAATGTACGGTAAAACAGCAGCAATACAGTAAGCAAAAAATTTAGAGTATCTGTTCAACTCCGTTATTTAAGACTTTGATGTATGTGTTTCTAGGAAGATTTGCTTATTTTTTAAAGAACTATACCGTGTGTAAAGCGTGAACTGTAAGAACACCCCGTGAAAACATAAGCAATAATGCTTCGTTTTTAAAATACAGGTTGTCGATTTTTTTTATTTGGATTATTTGGATGGAATTTAATGAAATTCATCCAGTATCGCCTGAAATTTCTCTAAAATCAATTAAGAAGGGCGCTTTATTTAAACCTGATATGGCTATAACTATCTAGATTGTGAGCTTTACTGTTAGGAGGTTTTGGTTTAGTCCTTAGTAGATTTAATTTAAATTCTCGAGTTATATTCGTAATCGGACAATTACCAAATTCAATACCTTCAATTTTCTCCCTAGCTACAATTGGACCAATCTCAATTGCCCTGGACGGAAACCACATTATGTTCTACCGGAGAGGGATTGTGTCAAAATGGTGCGGTTGTAAAAACTCAGAGAAGGACTTGAACCATGGTGTCTTATTGGTAGGATATGGTGATGGTTATTGGATCGTGAAGAACAGTTGGGGAAGAATTTGGGGTGAACAGGGCTACTTTAGGTTGAAGAAAGATGCTGGAAACACTTGTGGAGTTGCCACCTGGCCGTCATATCCTATTTTGTAGTATGGTTACTTTGTAATAAATCCTTTGATATTCAATTTGTGTATTCGTTACCATAACCGAAGTATCAGCGAGGTAGCCATAAAGGCATGTTCCTAACATTCTTCGTAAATTAATGAACGAATGATTCAAATAAACGATGAGGATGCCAGTTGTACCTAAAGGTGATATTTTTGAAATCAACGTGCATGTGTGATTATAATGAGAATAGTCATTGTGAAAACTGTAAGTAGCACTGCGAATAGTAGCGCTAGATTTGTGGCATTTTTATTATAGATAATAATAGTTATTTCAACTTTTCATTTATAGAAACATAATTCAGTGCATTAATGTTATTTTATTTTATTGTAATGCATCAGTGACCTTTTGCTGTTGCGTGCTCACGAGTAACAATGTTCCCGTTCACAAAAATATTTTTACAAATTAATAAGCTTGACAAACACATGATAACTAGCACATCGGAATTATCTAATTAGTCAAATAAAGGAATTATTCAGCTGAATCGATCATGGTGACGTTCGTTATTCACTTTATTCACTTGGGTATTTTACACTTTACTTACTTATTTGATCTTTGACACCTCATCTGAAGCATCTTTCAAAAACGATGACCTTATCACTTCTAAAGCTGTACATTCATACAGACCCTCCTGACTTCGGCCTCCCATCCTAACCGTGTCGAACTTCGTACATCCAGAACTGGCCGATACGACCGCTCCTTTGACCATAGTTTCTTTAAGCTCATCATAGCAGCCGCCCTTGTATTCAGGCTTCTGCCTGTGCGGCTGCTTCGGTATATGAAAAAAACACCTCAATATACAGAACAGTGTATAAAATGGATAAAGAAGATGTAGAAATAACAACATAGAACTCTCTATACAAAACACTTATCTGAAAATTACTTGTATCACAAAGATGCTCTTTTATAGATCAGTAAGCTTTTTTGAGTATCATTTTTAATATATTTTTTGTATAGATAAGTGTTCAGTCGTTTAATTCATACTCTGCAAAGCTTTAAGCCCACGTAGTTAGGATCAGTCTTCGTTTTGGCAAGCTAGTGAGCAGGAAATTGTAGTGTTAAAGCATTCGTAGAATTATAGTTGTGACTATCGACTAGGTTGCTAAAGCTTGTGAAATTTGATTTAAGATGCATCAATAGATCATAAATGTTGATACACATTAAAGTGTAAATTCTTTGAAACTTTCCCTACAACTAATCCCGTTTAGCCTCTTTATTGGTCTTATAACTCTCATTTGGTTAACACAAAACTCTATTTGCTGGGTAAGGTGCCGCAAAAGTGTAATGTCATAGGTTGGAGCTGATTAAAAGTAGGCGAAGAAATACATAAATAGTACTGGTCTATTAAGCGTAAACCGGAGTCTATTTATTCAGTAGTAGTGATTTTTTTACAAAGATGATCTATATGGTGATCCCAAGAAGAATTGTAGGATAGATACAGTCCAAGAAACTGCAACTGCACTGCCTTAATTATTCTTTGATGTCATTTTACCAACAAGCTGTGATCTGGTTCCGATGTATACATGAAACGAAGAAGCTATGACTTTTTTCTGTTCAATGGCAGGCCGTTATCAACGGGATTGTCTGATGATTTGTTGTGGTTTGAAATGCTCCAAACCGTCCAAAACATAATAGCCCAGGAAATAGGTAACTTTTTCCTACAATTTTGGCGACAATAATTTTTTTGATGGATGCATTAGATTATTGCTTCCTACTAATAAGTTTAAATTGATGCCATGATAATTCTGGAGCATTTGCTGCCATTGTGATGAGCGCGTTTGATCGAAAATCTAGGAAGCCATCGATCCCATGTAAAAAAGTAAATAAAAACAACTTTGTAGGGAATTGAATTATCAGTTTGATTCTATAACAATATGTTATATCGTCAACAGGTTACGAGAAACTTAATTGTACAGGTATATGTAATGATATTTTCTGTTATAATGGCTAAACTAACAATCTAAGCATACGGCGAGGTTTAAATTTGGCTGACATCGTAATGTGTAGGAGAGAGAAGCCCGAGAAGTGTGCAACATGTATTATGTCGCTCTTCTCTCTCGTACACATTACGACGTCACTGGTATTTGGTGTGCAATGCATAAAGCCTGCTACCCTTTTTTGTAAAGAATAATATTATCTACTAGAGCTACTTTTCCATTAAAATCGCAGCAACGTTTACTGAAATTACTCAGTGACAAAATGGCTAATAGACAGACTGATAGGAATGATTGACTCGATCTTCATAATAAAAACAGCACACATTATCAAAAAATAATTTTTTAAAATAGTATTCTTAATCATCTATAATATGAATATAAAATTATTTAGAAGTCAAATAATGCTGTATGCGGATAATGTGCACAACATACGTAATGTGTAGAGTATGTAACGTGACTATTTTCATATAAATTTTCAACTTTACCTCCTTATACTTCAAGAACCATCAAGGTGTCGAAAAACCGTAAAAGACCTTGTAGTGAATTTTGGTCTTTTCAAAAAATAGTAGTGTTTTTAACTCTCAGATTTGTAGTTTAGCTATTATATGCGGAAATGTCATTACATGTATATTTACCCTTTAATTTCATAATCTGTTGACTATACGATATTTTTCTATTGAAACAAAATGATAAAGAATTTAATTTCTTAACATGGCGGGCACATGTTCCAGCACTATCATGATCCATTTTGAATTTATCATTAGAAAGCAATAATACACGATAAAATCAAAAAAAAATACTGTAGCCAAAATTGTAGGATTTCCTTATATAACATCTCCCCTTTTCTTGGTCTATAATCTTGAATTAAAAATATTCTGGGATTACTATATTTTCCCATCTGTTATCACCCTGACAATAATTAAAAATAACATTAACTGTAGAAGGACATTTACCTTATTTGATTTTCATATATCTGACAATCAGATCGAAGATCTAGACAATAACATTTTTTTAGCCAATATATGATTATGATCTATTAACATTAAGATACGTGTAAACCTCATCTACATATAAATAATTTCAAAATTTGCTTATCTAGCACTAGTCGTACATATTTACTACATATAAAGTTACACATACTAGCAGACATCAAATAATATCTTGCTTCTAAAGAAGTTTTTTTAAGTTCGTAGATTATCTTTTTCAAAATGAGACGATTTATTTTTTTCTGGTTCGTTGCTGGAGTTACCACTTCCACAGACTTAGACCAGTGGGCACAATTTAAGGTAAGTTATTTTAATAATATTTGATGATTTAGTTTACTTCAGAATTGACATAATCCCAAATGATTCTGCTTTAGCATGAAAGGGAGTACCTTTCTGAAAAGCGCTGTACTGCATGTTTGACAGAATGAGCGTTTTTTTATATATTTTTGCGTCAGTCATTATTAATTAAGATAATTATTTTTCAGCCTGATAAGGTCAAAACTTGAATATGGGTCTCTGATATGGAGCCGTATTTATAAACAATATGTAGATGCTATTGATAAAATTCAGAAGAAATGTTTGAAGTTTCTCAGTTTCAAAACTAATGGAATGTACCCTGCAAGTAGTTCCGATTATGATGACTTGTTACAAAAGTTTGATTTTCAATCCTTAAAGCAGCGACGGAATCAATTTTCTGTACTCATTTTATACAAATTTTTGCACGGTCAAGTCAACTGTCCCCAAATTCGCTCGCAGTTACAATGTCTGGTGCCACGATTAGCTTCACGAGCTAATGTTAACTTTTTGATGTCAAAGAGTACAGGCTAACTTATCATCGAAAGCACCAGTTAATGCGATGAGTAACAATGCCAATAAAATTGCTAACGTCTGTCACATTTTTGGTTGCAGTTTTAATGAGATAAAAAATAAGTCACGTTTTCTAAGTTAAAACTTACCATTTTGTATATATATAAAGAGAAAATGATCACGCAGAAAGGTATATAGCATTTGAGCAGAAAATAGGATAGGTAACCCGAGCAACACGTATTCTAGAATCTAGACTATCGAAAGCTTGAGTTGTAAGTTAAAAGAGTACACTTTGCATGATTTGTCGATTTTCCCGAAGATGGATTCTTCTACTTAGCTAGTTATTTCATCAATGACTGTATTACCTGTATACCTACCTATATACATATATATACATATATATATATATATATATATATATATATATATATATATATGCTTTGTTCGTATGGAAATACCTCTAGGCTAACTTTTGTTTTTATAAATTGCAATGTTATTGGCGATAAGTTGTTGGGCAATAAGGCTTATTATTATTATTACCATTATTATTATTATTATTATTATTATTATCATTATCATTATTATTATTATTATTATTATTATTATTATACTATTTCAGTCTAAACACGGTAGGGTATACACAATCACACAGGAAGACAGAAAACGATTTAGCATTTTCAAGGACAACCTACAAAAAATCGAATACCACAACGCAAAGTATGAAAAGGGAGAAGTTTCATATGCTTTGAAGATCACTAAGTTCGCAGATATGACATGGGATGAATTCAAAGATTTTTTAAGAAACTCGTTTGGTGACCTATTAGAAGATAATTCTGAGAAGTCATATGAGTCTCGTCTGGAAGAACGCGATGAAGAGACTATTGTAGATCTTCCCACTGCAGTTGATTGGAATCAAAAAGGAGCTGTGACCAAAGTGAAAGATCAAGGAACCTGCGGTTCTTGTTGGGCCTTTAGCGCGGTAAGTAACATTATTTGACGTTTTTTAACTTTGAATGGCAAAACATCATTGTTGCTAATGAAGAAGAGTGAAAAAATACGATGTCCCTTCTTTCCAGAGGCATGGAAGCTTGCTCATATGCAACCCTTCCTAAAAATGATTAAGCTTTCTGCATAGAGATTAACTTCTGTATTTAAACTTTAGCTGCGCAGCTGCTAATCATACCAAAAATTATAGACAACCTAGAGTGACATTAATTCTAAACCTTAGCAATATGAGTGACTGAAGGTTTCCGAAATATCAGACAAAATGTATGATTATAATCCTAGGAGTTCGCTTTCGGTTCAGTAGAAACAAAAAACGATGTACCTAATGCAAGTAGGCTAGCACTTTTTGAGAGCGCGTGAGGGAAGTCCCAAAAATTTTGAACCAAATTACTCTAATGTCTCTGATCATTCAACGATCCAATAAGGGTACATTAGATCAACATTTCTCTTTCAAATAAATAATGTGCTTTTTGGTGTTTCCAGTATCACACCAGGAAATACGAAAGTTGTGTGTTTTTCTAGTTTATATGTTACTGAAATTATTACTTTTACAGGTAGGTGCCTTGGAAGCACAACATCTCCAAACGAATGGTTCTTTGTTGGATTTGAGCGCACAAGAATTGGTAGATTGCGCTGATGCCACATACGGAAACATGGGATGTGCTGGAGGACTCATGGACAATGCTTTCAACTTTGTAAAGGTTAAGGGTATCCTCACCGAAAAGGAATATCCCTACAAAGGGATTTCAGATTACTGCAGACAAAAACAAGAAGGATTCAAAATTCAAAGCTATGTCGATGTTGCAAATCAGGATGAAAAAGTTCTTGCCAAAGCTGTCGGTAAGTTTTTGCATATTAGTATACTTTCAATTTTTTTTCAGCACCATGTGTACAGGTACCAATTTCCGTCGGTCCGTTTGAATATTTTTGAGTGTATTTATTGTAAATTGTTTTAGAAAAGTCAAAATATTCTTTTTTAAGGTTCTTAAACTTCCTGGTCGCTTTAGCACGTATTCAACAAACGTTTAGTGGGCTTTAAAATCTAAAAATCAGACAATACTCGTATATTGTTATTAGTGGCACTTAGAATTTATGACTATCTCAAAATAATAAATATATTTATATCAATGTGTGGAAAACACTAAGACCCTGTAATTGACTCTTTTTTTCTTTAGCTCAAGTTGGTCCAGTCTCTTGCGCAATGGACGCTTCTTACATCCAGTTATATAGTCACGGTATCATAGACAGATCTTGTGGATGTGACAATGCAAGATATTCCTTAAACCATGGCGTACTGGTGGTAGGATATGGGGAAGAAAATGGAGTTCAATTCTGGCTGGTTAAGAACTCTTGGGGTACAGGATGGGGAGAAGATGGGTATTTTAAGCTGAGAAAGGATGACAAGAATACTTGTGGTATCGCTACTCTATCTTCCTACCCCGTGGCATAGCTAATGTGTATTAGAACATACTGCTTGGTGTATTTGTATAAAAATTCTCATATTGAGGAGCAATAATTATATTATCAGTAAATATTCATCTTTACACGATTGTATTTGTTTTATTTTTAATAGAATACCCTACACCATTAACCGTTAAACCACTCACATTATAAAAGCCACACCCAACTCCATTGTTCCTGGAACAAGTAGAAAACAAAAATATTATTTAACTAGTTTTCTGTCATATATTTACTTCAAGAGAACATCGCCTAAAAATACTCATGTTTTTATGCCCTCAAAATAAAAGAACTACCGAAATTGTAAATAAACTTGTAATCCGCCTTTAGTACAAGTTTGAACTAGCTCGAGTCATTTGGTTGTCTGTCAATTTCGAGCAACGGTGTGCTATCAGGCCTACGGTGTTTTGTTAAGAGCCCAGGTTTTTCGGTGATTTAAGACATTTTCGGAAGAGATAGAGTCGATTGAAGATGAACCACCAAGCGGAACACGTTCATCTTCCAGAATCGATGGAAACATCTACAGAATCCGGCATCTTGTGCGTTCAGATCGTTGGTTGACAGTCAGAACCGCAGTTCATGATATCAAGAATAACTGGGTGTTGCATCACAAAAATGCTCCTTGTCACACCGCAATGTCAATAAACGAGTGTTTGGCCAGTAAAAACATTCATGTGACTCATCAGTCTCTTTATTTGCCTGACTTGAGTCCTTGTGATTTTTTTGTCATCCCGAAGTTGAAAAATCACCTCAAGGAGACTCATTTTGGGAGTCGAAAAAATTCAAACGGCTGTAACCGACCAGCTGAAGGCTATTCCAGTATTGGAGTTTCAGCATTGCTACGAGGAATGGAAGAACCGTCTCCTGCGCTGTGTGACTTCAAAAGGAAGTCATTTTGAGGGTGACAATATAAAACTGTAATTATATTTGGATAAGAAGATTAAAAAATCCGTCTCATCGCTTAATTTACAGACCTCGTATACTATAGGTCATTGTGCTATTCCTCTATAAGTGACGTGAGCAGCGAGCAGCGAGTACACGTGGCTTGGGCTAGCGACTATAACTGGTACACAAGTGACAAATATGTTTTTTATTGTATATCTCTATCTCCCTCATACATACACATGCAACCTACCCCTGTGTGTGAACGTTTGTTCGGTAAGCTCAAAGACATACGTTTTTTAGTCCGTCTCGAAAACTTTGTCCTTACGTATGAGTGCTCTTCAATCATATTTGTCAGAGTGACAACTTACTTGACATCGGTGTTTTGCAATGCCTGGAAATACGATCAACGGAGAAGGCAATCAAAACGTCGGTAAATTCATTTCATCTTTTATTGCTCAATGTGTAAACGTTCTTTCTAATGAACGCGACTATCGGATTTCGTGGTTTAGAGGCCCACATACAAACAGCATGTACTACTTCTCTATTTTTATTTCATATTACTATTTAATAACAATTCTTTCCGCTGATAAAGGGTGTCCCTACAGGTACTTGGGGGAATTTATGTTTAAATAAAACCATCAATATTTAGAAAACTACAATGCTTGTTTACATTATCAGAATGGGAGATTAGTTTTATAAATATGATATTTTTGAAATTCCTCCCCCACTCCCGCTCTCTCAAGTGATGATCATTCTTTGACATAAATGTTCAGCACTTAAAGATTGATAAAATTCCCATTTCGTTTTACCAATAGCTTGAGGAACGTTTTGCTGAAGGCAATCAATCATCCGCGGTTTGTGTAAAACATAAATAGGCTTTATCCTTGAGGAATCCCCACAAAAACTGTCAAGCAAAATATTGTTAAAGTGCATATGATCCAAATTTTTGTGCTATCCCTCGCCGTAAATTTACTGTTCCATGATAGTAATATTCATGAAAAAAAAAGTTTATTTTTGTAGTATGACCAATAATTAAATTTGTGTTACAAGGGCGCATTCCTGAACCAAATATAAGTAGAAATGTTCATATAACAAGTTATTTGTTTAGGACCTAGAAGCACTTTTCTCCTCACAACCTCCTCACCCTGTACAAGGCCCAGATAAGACCTAGCCTGGAGTACTGCTCTCATGTTTGAAGTTCTGTCAACCCGGCTTCATTGTTTATACTTGCTGTTCAGAACAGGGCTGTTCGACTGATTAATGACACTTTTCTAACGGACAGTCTCGGGAGTTTTCGCACGGACGGGCGGTCGGCGCTCATGCTCTCTTCACCGCTATGTCAACAGGGTAGCTCATCAGAGCTCTCCTCCATGATGCCGCCGCGCGTTGAGCCTGCCTCCCATGCCAACTCTATCGAACTTCGCACATCGATAACTGTCCGGTACGACCGCTCCGTCGTTCCTATGTTGTGGAGATTGCGAAACAGTATGTCTGAAGAGATTTTTACAGTTCTGTTTATCCTAGGCATTTAAAAAATCGAATTAACAAGGCGTCTTTAAGTTTCTTTTAGTAGTCGTGGTGTCCCGATATTAAGGTTTCTGCTTACGCGACTGCTTCAGTATAAAACAAAATCAAACGTTGACACCCTGTATCTTACAAACCAAACATATAGGATACATTTTTATATGAACTCTTCTAATTAAACTTAGTTCAGGAATGCGCCCTTCTTAGTACGCCCTATCGTTAAGTAATGGATTGTAAAAGCATTAAATCAAGTTTGAAAAAGCAGCCAACGGCCCATGCACCGTCGTGATTCCTGTGGATTTGCTCCAAATTTTGGTGTTCTGCACGGTCCGGCACAAGTGACGGATGTTTTTGAAATAACTAGTACTCTCCGCCGACTCGGGCATTCCTAGCATTTTACCAGTAGACATTATGGAGCAGTGGACGGCTGAGCACCGCGTTTTCGCGTACCACAATTTTATCCGACATAATGAGTCTATCACGGCTGTAAAGCGTGAGTTTCGTCGCCACTTGAATATTCATTGGAATCGAGCTGTTCCTTCTCGAAACACCATCCTTCCTTGGATTCAATCACTCCGCACACGTGGTATACTAATCAACAAATGACCGCCAGGAGCTTCACAAACGGTTCAAACCCATGAAAATGTGAAATGCGTTCGACAAGCCCTCCTTCGCAGTCCGGCTCGATCTGCTCGGCAGAATGCTGCTGAACTCGGTGATCTTTCGGTAAGGCGTATTTTACATATGGAACTCCACTTTCACCCCTAGAAATTGCCCAATGTGCAACAGTTCCAGCCTGGAGATTACGCACAACCAATGAACTTCGCACGTGAGATGGAAGTTCTTTTGGAGAACCTCATTTTGTTCATGAGAGATGAAGCTCATTTTCATCTTAGTGGCATGGTTAACCAGCAGAATTGCCGTTATTGGACTAATGAAAATTCGCGACAGTTACATGAAAGACCGCGGCACACCCCAAAAAGTGACGGTTTGGTGCGCAGTATCGCAAACTTGCATCATCGGCCCTTACTTCTTCGAAGACGGTAATGGCAATGCTGTTACCGTGAACTCGGAGCGCCACGTTGAAATGATCACCAACTTGTTTTCACCTGAATTAAGTCAACGACGTGTGTGGTTCCAACAGTATCGGGCGACCGTCCACACTGCCAGAGCAATGATGAACGTTATTCGTCCTCTGTTCCGTGGTTGCCTTATTTCCAGATTTGGTGATATTCATTGGCCTCCTCGGTCCCCAGATTTATCCATCTGCGAATTTTTTCTATGTGGACACCTCAAAGCTCGTGTGTACGAGCACAGGCCTCGAACTCTATACGAGTTGAAGGAGGCAATTCGCAAGTCGCCCAAGTTGAAAGAACGATGTTGGAGAGAGTCTACGCGAACTATCAAGAACGCTCCAGCAATGCATTAACTGTGACAAACGCTATTTTATTGTGAGCCTGAATCAAATAAATTTGTTTTTGAGTAAGAATTACAGATTTTGTGATTTATTAAAAACCGTCCGACCTTTGTGCCGGAGCCTGTACTACAAGAATCAACTGCGAGATTGAAAACAGCAAGCTGTCTAACTGTATCCCAGTTCGCATTGTTAGCCGGGTCACCACTGTGGCCGCTAGATGTCGCCGATGCTGGTGCTATAGTAGACACTCTTCAAACTAGTAATATAGTTTTCGTTCATCCGACCACAAAGCACACACACGTGTCTGGATATACCTGTGTTGCGGTCTGAGCGATGAATGGTTGCAGTACTATTTGTTTTTTCTTATTATACAATCATGTTCGTAAATATTTTTTCCTCAGAAGGGCTAACTATGCCTAACATAATTCTTTTTGAACTGATGACAGTGTTACGTGGAAAGTGCAGTGTCAACCTACTAGACACCATTTCTTATATATGAAAATTTGAATCAAAGTACCTGTTTACCGACAATTTCGATTTCAATGTCTGCTGATAGATAATTATTGTATTTTTCATTCACAAAAAAATATCACTGGAGAATAAGAAATGGAAAAACACAACAAAAAAAATACGTCCGAATGTGGAAAATTGGGGGTTCTATTTCAATATGTCAACTTGACTTTGAAATGACCTTAAATGACCTACAACTTTTATTTGAAACTTTTTTCTAGATTACGCAAGTTTTCGAAATATTTAGGTAGAGATCTTTAAATTAATTATTCAACTTACAGCACTGAATGACCAGCATGAACCACACATTTCTTGATCTTTAACATCTGTGACAGCACCATTCTGTCTCCAATCTACAGCCTCTGGAAAATCATCGTCATCATCATTGGGTCTCGAAAGAGGTTTGCTGCTTTTGGGTTTGGGCATACGCTGCTTATGCAAAGTTACCATACCATTTGCTTGAATTCTTCTTGTGTCATATCACCAAACTGCTTGATTTGCATTTTGAAGGTTTGGTTACCCTTTCGGTACTGTTCATTATGGTTTTCAATCATTCTTAGGTTTGATTTGAAGACTTCAAAGTGCCTCTTTTCTTCCAGAAGATTTCAGTATGTCTTTCCATGTTGGAATCTATAATCAACAAACGCTTTTAAAGACAGCGATAATCAAATAAGTATTTTTGTATACAACATAAGCAATACACATTCATTGGTTTCCAAATTGTATCTACTACAAATAAAAGAAAAAATGCTTTT